CCGAAAGATACATACGGAAAAGTCGACAGGTTAAAAAGCTTTAATGGCTCGAGTTCTCATGCTTTTTGAGTCTCCCTCCAGCTGAGAACATGTCATCATGGCCAAAGCTCAAGGCACCCAGCTTAGCGACAGACCTATCTAGCCCAGTATCTGCCCTCAAGTATCACGCTACTGGGGATAGCAGCATTTTCCACCATCGCCCCCTTATGGTGGAATTAGCTCCCTACACCTGCCAAACTGCTGAATTCCTTTCCTCACATGAACTGTATAAGCCGCCGCCGTCATCCATCTCTCCTGCTCTTCTCTTTCTTTGTCGATGCGGTGGTGATGACACCACGTGAGCTCAAAGACTGAGGTTTATAAGCGAACGGCAATGCGCCGCACGTGACGTAACGCCATACCGGGCCAGTCCAGGAAGGCCCCAAAAGCTTGAGCCAGCCCCCGGAGCCAGGCTGTCTGCTCGGCGAGCCACACCGCTTCCACGCCGTGCGGGTTCTGCAAAAGGATGGTGGCCACCAGAACCCAGGGTCGCAGCACCATGCTCTCCTCCTGAAGACGCACCATCTTGTAGGCCACGTCGTTCACGAACACCTGGACGTCCTCGCCGGGCCTCCGGGAGATGTGTCTAGGAAAGTCACATGAGCGGTCTGACTTGATAGGCCACTCCAGGCCTTTAAGACCACAGGGCACCATCGTCCTCCTTCATCCCAAGCACTCCATGGGCTGGAGTAATTACGAAGTGATTCAGTTGTGAATTCGACACTAAGCGATTATTAGTGCTAAGACGTTAGCCTATTCTATCTTGTGCTACACTACCCAGAAGACCTCGCCATACCTGGCAATGCCTGGACCGTCTTGATTTGTTGGGGACACTCGGAAAAGAGATCAGGGATTATACTTTAAGTATTACGAATATTTGCGGTGGCTGGAAATTAACATAATTCAAAACCGGGAAAAAAAAAAACAATCAAAAACAATCTTTCCGGTAAATAATCTTTGCCTAGGGTGACTAGATTGTTTACGGATTCTGACGAGGATTACCTGGGCATCAGGTTGTACTGGGAGCGGTTGATTCTGCCCTGGGCCAGACTGCGAAGGGACACCGGTTGACCAAAATACACGTGTATATTGCCGTAGTCCTCACTGAGGATCCTCCTAGCTTTCAGAAGTCCCTGCAAGAAGAACACATGGATAAACAAAGCAGGTAGTGGTCACTCGACAAGCTACGCAGTTTTATTTTTGCTGAGACAACAATACGCTCCAAATGTCACTTAGTGACAGAGCTTGACGGATTGAGGCAGCAGCTGGCTGTCTGCCTAGAGTCCCAGCATATCCCAGTCCAGTCCACGGGAACCCACAAACGGTTCACGTTTTTGCTCTCTCCCAGCTCCCAGTGGGAAGCAAAAACGTGAACCGTCTGCGGCTCTCCATGGACTGGACTGGGAAACGCTGGCCTAGATGCATTTCAAAGACACGACACAGAATGATCAGAACAATGGGCCCTTGAGAGATGGACTGGCTTACAGACGTGGACTCCTTGGGCTTGGGCACCCCGAGGAGCTCGCGGGCATACAAGGCCTCCTCCAGCACCCGCTCGTAGCTGATGCTGATTGGCACCATGCTAACATCGAACACCTCCCCCTTGAAGAAGGGTTCCATTGCGATGCTGAGAAGGCCTGAATAGGACGAGGACAAGATGATGAAATATATCCTAGATGTTCAAAGGAGCACTCTGTGAAGTTGACTGTGAGATCGAACAGCAACCTGCTCAAGAGACGAAGACAGATGAAGACTGCGGACCATAAATTTACTCTTACCTACTTTGGGAGTCAAAGACTTGCACGTTCGACTTCTCGTCCCTTCTAAGAAGAATTCGATCGGCGCATATCCGTTCTAGGGATTAAATTCATATGAGCCATGTTAGGACTCACTGGGACTGATGTCAGATATTCGGGGGCTCATACCATATTTGGGTTCCCAGGACAGCCAAGCATCGAAGGGCTCCACTGAACAAATTACTCAATAAATGAAATGTATTTAACCTCAGTTTTGAGTAGCGAGTTTTTTAGCATTTAAACTGTTACACTGAGCTATTAAACATACTGTGCACAATGTGGAAGAGCCGCGACTGTAGGTAGAAAGTATAAGTCAACTAGAAACGCAAAGTGATGCGACATTAAAATATTATATTTAAAAGACGTTGATTCAAACTAGCATATGGGAATCTGCGTCATTATGCTGATAAATAGCAAAGTGTGGGATGACGCTGGAGACAGTGAGGGCCCTGAATTCTCTTCTGTCTGGAGACGGCGCTCACCCTCAGGATCGTCTTGACGTACTCGGAGAAGACGGCCCAGTACAGCCTGTCCCCTCCGAATGAGCGCCGGATGAAGAAAGCGCCGGACATTCGTAACATCTCTCCCACAAACTTCATACCCAGGAAGTCTGGAGATTTCACAGCCAACCAGAAGTTAGGGATGGCATCAATATTCGAGACACACAAATCTCTGATAACCTAAAACTTCCACTTTTGTATCGGGTGGGAAAAAAATGTAGGATGCCGTACAAGGATGTTGTGAGCTTTGGAAAGCCATGTAAGACACATCAGTCACGTGTAAGTAATCTCATCTCCAGCATCCACCTGTCCCCACATCTTTTTGGTCAGTAACGGGTACTGGGGAATTTCGACAGCGGCCGTCTCAGAATACGTGCCCATTCCCGCAGCGATGACTGGCAGGGCGAGATCATTGGTGTACAGGAGGTAGGACACGATGAGGAAGTCCATGTAACTCCGATGGCTTGGAAGCAGCACCAGGGGATGCTCCTGGATGGCCTGCTGAAGCTGGCGGCAGAAATGTGCAATCACCACGTCACAAATAGCAAAGAAGTCTGTCAAACTTCTGGCAGGTGCCATCTGAACTAATTCAACCTGGATTAAAGATCAAATGAATCAGATTAAAGGCCCCTTTGCAATAACGGAGCAGATTGTGGAGGACTCACTCTCTGGATGCCATCCTCATTCACGCGGATCCTCTGGTAGAGGACCTTGAAGGCTTTGTTGAGCATGTAGGCAAAGAACCGGACGGTGCCCAGGTGTAGCTTATGTGCCATCTCCTCCAGGATGGCCAAGGCCTCCCCCTGGATGACCTCAGTGGCCTCCCCAGTCTCCTTCGACAGCTGAGAGCATAATCGACATGGCGGCACTGAGCAGTCGAGGCAGTGAAGAGCGTGCATATTCCCCAGATCTGGCTCTAGCAGCAGCTATCACTGGAAAAACTGGTCCAACCTCTAAGGACCTACGCCACGCCCTTTTCCAGGTAAGGAATCCTACCTGGTTGCAGGTGCAATTTCAAGGTTTGTTTGTGTAATCAGATCAAACCTCTTTGCACTAAAGAATGAAATACAATATCTATTTTCCTAAAGTACAACACTATCAGGTGTGTTAATATTCATAATTCATCACGACTGGCCCCCCCAGAAGGCAGTAGCATTGGCTCACGCTTCTAGAGATGTGGGTGTGAATCTAATTGCTGCTAAATATAAAAGAAGTTTTATGACGCTCGATGTGCGTGTTGCTTCACGTTTTCTCATCACTCGTGTGGGTTTACTCATTTTATGAAAATATTTTATTTTAAAAGTCTGTATCCTATGCAGCAAACTGCCAGCACATCCAGGGTATATTTTAGCAGATGCTCGCATCCAAAGCAACAAATCCAAAGCAGGGAGAAATCACTCTGCTGACAATCTGAACCAGCGACCTTACAACCAGACGCACAATGTCCTAATGCGCTGAGCCACACGCCAGCCCACATATACCTTGATGCACACATGCTTCCTACAAAATATGACTTCTACTTTCCATGTATAAGCCTTGACTTGAAATGGATGGATTAACTGCGTGGTAACACACTTGTTCAGCAAGCTTGGCTCAGGCTCATCCCACACCATCGATGCTACAAGCTCACGTGCTGGGCATGACTAAGATAGCACACAGATCCACTCGTAACTTCTGACACTTACGGCTGACTGGACGGGCTGGAGGGGTGGGGGTTAACCAGTTGGCCTCGGAGCCCATTTTTTTTTTCCTCCGCGCATGGATTTTATTTTCTTAGCTTCCATTGTCTTCTGGCTTTTGCTACTCTAACTCTTAGCACTTTTATAACTATGTCTGTCGGAGCAATTGTTATCTTTGCTTGAACTGTAACCGAATGTTTAACGTTACCATCGCTGTGTTAAATGTTCGCTTTCTCACCTCGGTAACAACGTAGCGAAGCTGCTCAGACTGCAGCACCATAGTCTTTATCATGCTCGGTTTACAGGGTGTGACCCCCTTGTAAAGAACCGGCATGTAACACTTCAGTGCATATTTCAGGTCGCTGCTGTTTCTCCTCTCTTCCAGGATATCCTCGAAGTCATCTCTCTTCTTTAAAGCTGGGTCTCTTTGCTTCGCGTGCAAATACAAGTTCACATAATTATATACAGTAATGTCACTTAGTTTTACTCTGTTAGTTCTATTAGATATCCGCATTAATGCAAAATACAACTAAACAAAAGAGTTTAACTTAGTTCCTGTTCTCTTTGCTGTTTTATATTTCCATACATACTAATAAGGAAGAAGTATTAATAATAAATCTACTTTCCCTGTTTATTGGTTATCTAACAGTCCCATAAGTATGGGGCAAACAGAATGACAGCTGCAGTGTTCATTGGGGATACTTAGCAAAGAACGTTATGGTTAGCTAAAATTTAGGCGGCACTGTTTGTGCATTACGTACCGAGTACAGAGTTCTTGATGCCATTCGTTAAAACAAGGAAATTACTCAGGTTGAAGCCTGCATGTAGCGCAGATGTAGACTCTAAGACAAAGTATCACTTCCCAATCCAGAGCAGAACTTGGAAATATTCACATACCACACAGGTGGCCTGATTCACATGGGCGGCGCCGTTCGATCAGGAGAGACATGACTTCCTGTTCAGATTGTCCGCCTACGGTGGCCGAAGGAGGACATGCAACGTCGGACTTCCGGGTTTTTTTTTTTGACCACGTGAAATGTGTTTGTAACTGGAGGTAGTAATGTGATGGTATATTAACAAACATAACATCCTCCTTTTTAATAACTACATGCTAGGATGAACTCGCAGAATGAAGAAGTAATAGAAAACGATTTGGATAATAGTTTTCTCGACCAGGTGTTGAATAAGTTGTATGATTTTGGTAAGTCTTCAGCTAATCAGCATGCTAGCTAGTTTGTAATAGGGGCCGAGTGTTTGTGCCAATAGTACAAACGACACTCGCTCTTTGAAATGATCTGATTATTTTATAGTGACTTAAATCTAACTAACATGGCTGGCTGCTTACCTACGTGTTAAGACTTGACTATAATAGTTTTGATGTGCGGTCATTAAATGTCAGTGTCAGTTCAGTTGTCAAAGTTATTTTCTGGTAAAATGATCAGTCTTAATTGTTAAATGTCCAAAAGGTGACGGACCAAGAGAACGAAGGAAAAAAAAGTTGAAGAAGAAGAAGAAGAAGAAGCAAAATGAGGTTTATACATCCGTAGACGACATAGACATAGACGCTGCCCATTCGGACTGCATTGATGAAAATGACTGCGGACCGCGTAGTCCAGCCGAACCCATGGTGCCGGATGCACCAGACACCTGCAAAGCCGGTGGTGCAGCCCCATCTGCACAAATAGAGGTCGTGACTTTCCAGGATCCTCTGAAGAAAAATAATAAAACAAATGCCACAATGCCAGAAAAAGAGGTATGTTTTATATGCAGAGTCATTTTGTACTGTTTATTAAATCCTCACTGCCTTTATGGAAAATCCAGCGTGTTTATTGTACTGTGCGTGCCATGGTATTTCCATTAGCCAACTGATCTTAAAGCTTTTACCGGAGAAAGGTGTTTCTGCATCTGACATGACTGTTCAACATAGCCTGTTAAATCTATCAACTTAAACATCATTAAAGATTTGGTTTTAGGCTTTTGCGTCGAACTGATTCAGACTGTCAATTAACTAATAATAAATGTAATCTAATTTTTGAACACTTTGATTTACACTGTGATAGTTGTGACTTTTTATGATGTTTCTTTTCAGCCTCAACAAGTAAAGAAGGATGACAAAGGGGACCTTGATAGATTCAATCTAGAGAAGGTAAATAAGTAATGAATAATGTTATGGTTGAACAGAAACCAGGTCATAAAGTTAGCAGAGTTGTTTTTTTATCTAGATTCAAAATAGAACCTTAAGGTATTGATTTGCATTTGGTTTATATTCATATTTTTACTCTCCCTTAAAAGGCGCGGTTTGAAGTTCATAGGTTTGGAATTACTGGCTTCCAGAAGGAACAGCGAAGGCAGTTTGAGCAGGAAAGAGCCATCATGCTTGGAGCAAAGGTATGGAGGAGCACTTAGAGCAGTGTTTCCCAACTCGGTCCTCAGGGAACCCCAGACAGTCCAAGTTTTTGCTCCCTCCCAGCTCACAGCCAATCAGGAACACCAAATACCTGGTACAGGTGCGCTGAGAGGAAGCAAAAATGTGGACTGTCTGGGGTTCCCCGAGGACTGGGTTGGGAAACACTGACTTAGAACATTAACTAAGATATGGCAATACAAGGCAGCACCTGAGAGCTTACATCCTTCACAGCCACCCAAGAAAGAACACACCAATTACAAAGTCTACCAGCAAATGATCAAGGAGAAGAAGTTAAAGGAAAAGGAAGAAATTAAGTCGGTGAGTTGCTCTGTTTCACTGATGGGGTAGAATTGCTTGTATCTTTATTGATTTTTCTTTCCACAAATGGGAGTGTTGTTGTACTGTGCTGCTGTTCATAGGAACAAAAGGAAGAGATACAGCTAGTCTCCTGAAGATATCGCGTATGATTGTGCTCCAAGTCCCAATGTAGTTTGTCTCTGTCTCTAGGAATCTTCACAGGAATCTTAATATCTACCTTTTTGCCAAGTACTGTTTTAATTTTAAACCATCATATGCTGCGTGAAAATAAATACATTTCAATTTGATTCTCCTAGGACACCAAAAAGAAGAAAAAGCAGAATAATAAAGAAAAGTAAGGAAATGTTTATCAGTCCTGATAGAATGATTCTGTGATGTGAAGGAAGCAGTTTTATCTTATGCAGGCGATTTATTCCAAAATTTCACCAAGTGTACTGATGGTTTTTTTTTTTTCTATGAGTGCTAGGTAATTTCTAGATTGATTTTGAATTAACTTGCTTTTTTAGACCTTGTTATTTACTTTGTAGTCAGACATAAAGCTGTTCTTTCTCTTTTTTTCATCATTACAGGGAGAAAAAAAGAAAGTCGACATCAAGCGCTCTGCTGACTGGACAGGCTGGCCGGTTCAAGAATGGTATGTTAGTCCTGAGCTCTAAAGAAATACAGAAAATCAAGAAGTCCAGAATGGTGAAGTGAAAACCGGTCTAAAGCATCATTTTATACATGTTTTTGAATGTTTGACTTGTTTTGGTGTTCGATATTTTTTCCATTGTATTTGTAAAGTTTTACTATTAAATGTAAACTCCCCTGAAGCAAATGAATCGGTGATAATGTTTGTATCTGTGCATTTACATACATATGCTGTAACACAGTGACAGCTGTTCCAAAAACAAGTCAGACTCGACTGTAATTCATTTCAAACACCCCAGAGGAGAACGAAGCAAGTCTCTCTTTATATGCCATCACAGTTTATTGATTTTTAAAAGGGGGAAAAGCGGCAGCTTTTCGTTAACACCATATAATATGAAACGATGCGATTACAATGCATTTCATATACAAACCACCAAAAAAGTACAAAACGTTTACATTTCGGAGAAATGGAGCCTGAAGAAAATGCACATAGTTCTAGAAAAGTACACAGAGTTTTAGTGAGCGCACAAGCCTGACAGCTGTACAGAAGCCATCCTACAGGACTGCTACACGCCCCCCAGGGCTGAACTGCACCTACGCGTCTCCTTTTCTTGCACCGCAACCCTAGTAGAGTAAGGTAGCTGCACTGCACCCTCGTCAGTGTGCTTGCTTCTCATTTATTTGTCCTTTATCTCCACCCAGTCGTGACTGCACCAAGCCCCATGCTCCAGTGGGTAGGTAAACACAGACTGGTATTACTGTTGCACAATGTAGGTTTATTTACACAGCTGTTTTTTTTTTTTTTTTGTATACGTATGGGTGTATATATTTATATATATAAAATATTACATATAAAGGTCAAATGCCTGTTGTAGATGTAGACTCTATAAGCAAATAATTTCCCCCGGGCACTCGATGTTTTTAGCACCGTTTTTTTTTTTTTTTTTTGATTTATGTTCACGTTTGAAAGCGGTCTGCCACGTTGGAACAGGAAATACATGCCAAGCGCTCCATCTCGTTACATTAAGAGGCGATGGTAGATCCACTGTGTGCATTTCTGATAAGATTCTCATGGGGTGGGGGGGGGGGGTTGATGGCGATGGGTTTTACCACAGCAATGTGGATCAGGGTTTGGTGGGGAGATGTTCCCTTTCAGCTACTTCAAACTCCCGCTCGTCTGTATATCGGTGCCCAGACGCACCTTCATAAACACTGCAGTGTGAGTCAGTTGGCTTACGAACTCCAGCCAGACTGGCCAGCGTCCAGATGGAATTTCTGTTACACTTGTGATGTTCTGCAATTGGCCACATACACATCTTTTTTATTTAACCAGTCTCCAGAAAAAAAGGAGTCTATTCTACCTTAACACTGGAATTTTGGCACTATTTTAAAAGAATCAAAGCTATACATTTGGAGGTGTGTTTTTTGTCTAGATAAGTTAAAAACATCAATTACTTAGTCAACCAACCTTAAAAGTGCTGGATTTTATGTGGAAAAACTTTTGATGTCTTGGATTACAAATGGACAACACTGTTCCTGCCAATATGTTACTTCTAATACTCTTTTCAAATGGGTGCTGGAATATTATGAACTAACTTTCCAATTTTAATTAAATAACATCAGATTTTGCCAGCATGCGTTCCCAGTTTCACTGTAGGCCTCCAACAAAAATATTTTCATCTCTAATTAAAGAATCAAGTTTTATGTCAGGGTTTAGGTGCACTTAATTAAAACACTTTTCTAACATCTACGTAATATAGAACATGCTGTGTGGCTTCCTACCCTTTGCTAGCTTATCAACAGTTTAAATTTCAGGAAATGTATCATCGGATAATTACAGCAGAGTTTCTCCTTGCGTAGTTGAACATTTCTGACTCATCAGTTTGACATTCATTTTCCTGTTTAAAATGTTGCTTTCATTCATTAGGATTTTTCTCTATGAATGTACAGCACCATGAAGTAAAAATTACACATAGAAGCATTAGAGGAGAAGGTAAAACCATCGAGGCTTTGACCACAGAGTATAATATGAGCTTCTCTACAAAAAGGTTTAGAATATACCAATGGTAAAATCTGTGACGTCCTGCAGTACCGATATCAAATCCTGTGAGGTGCATTGCCGTTTTTGGTCCAAAATTCATGTGGTCTGTCGCACCAACTGTTCATAAATTACACACATAGTGGGGCATTTTGTGAAGTATTTACAGAAAGTTCATAAATGGACGAGTTCATATAAAGCTCATGCTTAGGACACTATAGTGTTCACTCATTTTCATGTCCATATATACAGCTGCGTAACATGCACATACAGCTTCAAAGAATGTAATTAAATAGCTAGTAACTGTTTATGGATACCTATTTTAGGATAAAATGCTGGATAACAAAATATCTCATTGGACACACTTCAGTTTATGACTAATATATATGGGATTAAAAAAAGAAAACAGAACCACAGGAATCCAATTGAAATTACAAACGAGAGAATTCTCAAAAGAATATTCACGAAGCATCACAGTGTCGATGTATTCGGCGGATTTCTGTTCTTGCCCGGATGCTGTGAAGGAACGGCCATTCAAAACCATTCATGCAAATACTCATCTGCAGGCAGGCTGCCTCTCTGGAGGGCGCTGGATCCCTTGGGACGTTTGCTCACAATGACATTCAGTAATAGCAGTTGTGTTCATGGCTTAGAAGGACGATCAGAGTGACACGTCCCACTTGGACGCGCTAGAACCCAATCGGGCATAATACTCAAATTGTACTTGTGGAGAGCTATTCACACTGGCAACATAAAGTATAGGTATTATAGCAGCTTGGGGAGGCTGGCAGGAATGGGATGTTATATCTCCCAGAGATACATTGTATCAGGATTTTGGTCATTTAACATCGGCGCGAATACTTGATGCATTTGCCCGGTCTGTGTGAGAACATGAGAATCATTGAGAATTCTAACATGGGTTAGTGCCTCTCTGACCTCTGTGCCAAAATCTCAGCAGTATATAAACTATACAAAGCAAACTTTATTTACTAACCTGAGATAAGTAGTAGTAGCCTACAAGGCCACTATTGGGCACTTATCTGTGGTTGGTGTCATTTTAAGATAATTACCATTGTTTGTCCGGTGTTTTCCTAAAAACACTCTTGACAATTTCATTGAAAAAGGTGCTGTACAAAATAAAATAAAATAAAAAAATCCTCGACTGTGATGTAATTTGTTGTCTGACTACTCAGGACTACAAAAATAATAATAGTGTCATTATAATCGAATATACTCGGTATGTTATTCTGAAATGTTTAAGGTTGTCTTTGTCGGTCGGTGTTGGTTAGAATACGGGTTGCCGTAAGGGGGACTTGCCACGGCGATGCTGACTTGCCAATGTCTCAGAATTCCTGCAGAATCTACTGCTGCAAAATCTTTGGCACCTCCAGGCCTGTTAGCAGAGTGACCTGCCATGGGGAAACAAGGCACAAAATAATGACTCACCATGCAGAAGTGGGCCTTGACTAAAATTCTTTGATCGGAGCCTAAACACTGCAGCCCACTGAAAAACAATATACGAGAAGAGCCATTCATGCGAAACAGAATTAGTAATGCGGAAGACTTTTATTTTGACACCCTGTTCTGGACGTCCCGAGTGCACTAGGTCAAAGATACTGTGCATGAGCGCATAGTTGTTATCAAGAACGCGGATGAGATTTTGATTCCTGAGTGTCTGTGCTTCATAACGAATGTAGGTATGCCATAAAAAAAAATTTATTTAACACAAAACAAAACTGATCCATCAATTTAATGGCAGAAAAAGAGAAGCTGCATTACACTATATGGGGTTGGAGAAACTATCCTCATGTAAATTCAATATATAGTTTTAAGTGAAAAACAAATTAGAATAATGAGGAAACAGTGATGACTTAAAGAGAGCATCGATTTTACTCTAAATGGAATTCAGCCCTGCTTTGCAAAGACTACCGACCATGTTAGACAGCTTGGATAAAAATCAATGGCCAATATGAAATTCTAGGTCTTCTCTGGAGTGTTGTTGCAATGGTCATTCTGCCTGCTAACAATTTTTCATTCTACGTTAACCGAACCTTACAATCAAGGAATATTAAAGTTCAAAGTGTCCAGTTTTCCTGACGTTCCCAGAACATTATCCCACTACTACAGCTAATGCTAATAATATAAAATTAAATGAAGGACATGGTAGGGCAGCGGGTACCTCTGTCGAAGGTCATGGGTTCGAGGCTAGACTGTGCATTCTCAGTATAGATGAGTATAATATATAAAGTATAAAGTAATATTTTATTATTAAACAATATGCTTCAACACTAATTAAGTTAAAAGGATGTTCAGGTAATAATATCATTGACAGAACCTTCTTTAAAATGTAAAACATGGAAATTAACATTACACTAAGAACGTCCTCTGCCAACTTTGAGAGGACCTCCACGTAACGTTGACTACAGTTCTGGGAACGTTCCATGTTGGCTGGGCTGGACTTGCGATGGACAAACCTGGACGTTCCTGTTAAGGCTGACTGCAGGCATGAAGACCCCGTCCAGGTTTTCGAAGGCCACCGGCCCGTGCTGCTCCTTGTTGATAAAGAATGTGAGGTTGCGCTTGTTGAGGTCCAGCAGGATTCCCACGGTGGAGCCTTTGGTGATACCTCCTTCCGCCCTATGAAGCACAACACACTGACCTTCAAAAGGGCCAAACTGACACGGCACAACTCAGGCAGCCTTTAAACGGGTCCAGGAATAAAGAAATGCTAGAATATACCTATAGAAAAAACCCTGAGTTTTGTATAGTTACTGTTAGATCATTTCCAGTTTGACATCATCAACCCAAGTTTCTGATTTGTCTTGTACTGTCTTGACTCTTATTAAACTGCTGATTTGTCCTTCATTGCAGTGCTGTCATCCTGTCCCATTTCCGGAAACTGTGGCACAAGAATTTCACTGTGCTCCTCAAAACAAATAACAATAAAAACTCGATATTAGAACCGTTAGTTATACTTTTCCTGGGTAGGTAGCAGACAAGGACCACACTCTTGAGAAAGGATCACATGACTGAGCATGCATACATATGTAATCTGAGATAGCAGGTACTTCCAGTTTATTAAAAGGCACTGATTCAGGTCTTGCTGTGGTACCATTCAGTAAGACAAGATAAAACATACTGTAT